CCGTTAGAGGGTCTCAACTCTGCAGCCGCGTTTATGTTTTTATGCTCATCTCCGATGCTCCAGATTTACTACTTGAGGGTATAGACATATACTGACATTTCGAAAGGACCGTTGTATAGTTTCCAATTTGCAACATGTTAATTGCAAATGTCGAAAATATCATCACCATCAAGCTTAGAAAATATCTCGAAATGCAACACTTGAATGTTTTGATCGATCAAGGTATGATGTATGAACAGCATATAACAAGTTCGGTTTAGTACAGGGTCGGTGAACGACAGGCGTTCACAAAAGACAAGGTCTACCATCAACCGCAAAAGCAAACATGACCGGCCCAGGTGACGACCGAAAACCGAAAATGAATTGCCTAACGTCGTCTAAACGTGTTTTTTTCTGCAGCCTCGAAGGTTGCCGAATCCCTACAAGATTATTTATAAGAAATTAATCATATCCAAGCAACAGAGAAACTGGTCACGCACGAAAAACCATCGTTGAAAACATCCTGGAAATAGAAGAAAAATGATGAAAAAGTTTGTATCTTGGTCTAAACTGTGGACCGGCACGGCATCTGTTGTCAGTACAAGAAATTTCATTAGAATTTGGGCTTTCTGATTGAAACCCGACGAACACGATGTTTCAGCACGAAGCATCCTAAAAACTGTACAGAAACAAGAAGCAGTTGATTCTTGACTTTCTGTATGCATAATCTCAATTTGGCCCGGTTCACCGCTGTACTTGTGGGTTCAACCTTCGTTCAACTTTGCCAAAAATCGGTCGTAAGTGCCTAATGATATACTACGCTATCTGAATATTATTAAAAGTAAACTTTCGATTCGACAATATTAAGATCATAACGCCAAGCTACCCCAAAATTTTCAGCAAAGATTTGTTAACTTATTCATTCATTCATTTTATAGACGTTATAGGTTCTTCTCGGTCAAAGGAGAGGGCAACCGTACGAACAAAAGCCTTTCCAATGAACACGACTAAGTGGTAATGAAAGCTTTAACGCATGAGCAAGATCGCTAAAGAACTTGCATTTTAACAGTGTTAAAAATAGAAGTCTGACACATCATGAAAAGGCTGCACAAATGAATGAGCAGACAGGAACGGAATCAGGACCAGAATTTAACACGGCAGTGAAAAATAAACTAAAAGGAGGACAAATACAAAAAAGCACAAATAGAGCAAATGCGTGTTAAGCGTAGGTTGAAATGCCACGCATAACACTGGAGTGCAACTGGACTTTGAGGATCTGCATCCAGTAGATGACCGTTCTGCGACAGAGGAGTGCTCTGAGGTATACAATGACTTGACAAGCCCAGGTGCAAGAGCAAGTGGACACATATTTTGCGAATTCCTCATTCAGCAGACATCTGCGAAAGCCAACGATATTGTCACTGATCAGAACTGTATGAGGTAACAGACTTGTAATACATAAAGTTGTTCGGAAGGAGGATGGTGAGCTTTTGGAATAGCGCCAAACAACAATTAACGATATAGGAAATACGACGGTAGTAGAGTACAAATGAAAACTACCAGCATATACAAAAATAAAGGCACCATGATAGGCAGATTTCCAGCTGAGTGGTAACTGGTGGTAGGAGAGGGTGCCGTTAATGACTGAAAATTTAAATAACAGCTCAATACATATTTAGGTTTAGCATATTCATGGCTTTAGGAGTACATCTAACCATAGCTAGGTTATAGCAGTACTGCCTAGTGCATAACTCATACAAGTTGTTACATCGGATATATGACAGTCGCAAAACAGACCATTTCCATCTAGAGGCCTGGGAAGGAGTTGGGAGAGGCGTTTCAGCAGG